ACCCGCGCGGCGCCAGAACTGCCACGGCCGCAGCTCTACTCTGCACTCAGCGGACGCGCCATCGGCCCCGGAGATGGCTACGGCGAAAACGTGCGAAAGGAGGTCGCGGGACCAGGACACCGTCACGACGCGCGAGTGCCCGGCGATCTTGGCCCGGTACACGGACGCGGTGACGGCCTTGCCTGGCTTGTGGCTGCCGTTGCCCGCGACGTCGTCGACGGCCGCGAGGTCGCAGGGCGAGGGCGCCGTGGGCTGGTCGCCGCCGCTCCGGTGCGTGTAGGACGACACGTGGTGGTCCAGCATGGCTACACTGCTACAGCCGCGACAGCGTCATGTAGAAGAGAGAGAGAGAGAGAGAGAGAGAGAGAGAGAGTGGACGGGAAGAAAAAGGAAAGAGAGAGAGGAAGGCGCAGGGGAGGAACAAGAGATGCTTATATAGTGACGACCAGCTTTGCTGTTTGCAGAGAGGGGAAGAAGAAGGAACATGCATGCATGGATGATAGGGTACGGTGGTGGGTGATGAAATCATCATCATGGAGCTACGATACCTTTCGCCGTCACTAAACTATTCTATTTGATCAGATCGATCGGTTCTGCTGGATACAGGCAAAATGCTACATAATTGCATTGGATTCATGTGTTGGATGATGGGCTGTTTGTTGGATACATATATATATATATATATATATATATATATATATATATATATATATATATATATATATATATATATATATATATATATATATATATATATATACTACCTTGTAGCTGGCCGCAAAATAAGGAATTCTGTATCCGGGTCAGAACTCAAGCCCGAGCGTCACCCAGCTCCGTCCATTCACCCACCGCAGTAATAAAGACGACATCAGTAAAGACAATAAATACTAGTCCATTAATTAACCCAAAAATTACGCTTATTTCCATCTCTCGAGAGAAAAGTCTAGATTGGGTCCTGTTCAGATACGTCCGCACCATCGCAGATCGTGGCCTGCCTCCTCTCTCATGCTGCTGCGTCCTCGGCCGACGCGGCCTCCGCCGTACGTGGCCGACGAACCTCGGAAGGCTGCTGGAGAGGCGACGTGGGACGCAGAGCGCAATTTGAGGCGTCTTATTTGTAGCAACAACAAAAGGCAGGAGGAGGGCGGCGGACGCGTGTTCTGCGGCGGCGGGGCGCCTTGTGGCAGCCGACCAACCGTACACCAGCTCGCCTCAAGCACGAGGGAGCGGGGAGGTGCGGTGGTTGCTGCCGTCGAGCATGAATCGCTCTCCCCGCCGGCGACACTTAGCCGGGCGCGCACTTTGATCCGTCGCGCGAACGATGCACCGGCGATCGCCGCCGCACGACGCGCGCCCGCCGGTGGCGGCGATCCTCGATCCGCGTGCACAGCACGCGACCCGACGGTGGCACCGCACCCTCGACTTCGCCGCGATGGCACGCCACGGTGGTGGCGGTTTGCGGCGCACCTCAACTCGCGCGCATGGCACGCTCGGTGGTGGCGGTTGCGGCGCACCCTCAACTTCGCTACGCATGGCACGCCCGTGATGGCGCTGCACACGTCCGATGGAGATGGCGGCCCCGGTGGTGCGGCCGGGAGGCGAAAAGCGATGGCGTGCGCGCCAGCACACCTCGGGATGTCGCTGCGAGCTTCGCACATCCAAAGAAGAACCGATGGTGTACTGACCCTAGTGGCGGCGGTGGGTCCTCATCATCCGGCGGCGGTCTCGCGGGTGTACCCAACACCAGCACTGCCCTTTTGTTCGGCGGGCCGCTTGTTGACAAGCCCGTCCGCACCTTCACCGGTGACTCCCTGATGTCGGGCTCAAGCAGTAGCACTCTGATGACTGATGTAGGCGGTGGCGGCCAGAGGTTCTATCTTCTATGATGGCAAGATCCTGTGAGACGACGTCCTGTTTCTTTTCTCGTGAAATTGAGCACGATCCAATCGCTCTCGAGTAGCAATTCTCGTAAATATTATTAGTGCAAATTCTTGTAAATAGTATTAGTATTGTTGTAAATGTAATTGTCGTAAATATGTAGTATTACAGTAACTTGTCCATGAAATTATGGTAAATCTTTTCTTAACACTAATTTTGTCCGAGACATTCAAATTATTTTAATCAGCTTATGACAAAATTGGTTTAGTCACTGTGCTCAAATTCTCGTAACACATGAACAATTACATTAGTTCAACTTGTATACTACTCTTCAGTTAGCCCATAGCATGCATGTAGAGTATTCTCGTAGCCCATTCCTATTTACTATAATATATTCTTTACTATTTTTCACGGACAATGGGCGTGTTCGCAGACCAGCCGGTTGATCCCCCTTAGCAAACACTATTAATCAACCAGCCGCTACAGTATTTCTCTCTCACAAAACCAGCCAATTTCAACCAAATTTCAGACCAGCGAACGGGGCCAATAGTATTCTCGTAACCTTACTATTTTAAGGTATGTTGTATTCTCGTAACAAGAATATTTTGCATATGGTATTCTGGTAACTACCTAAATATCTTACAGTACCTATTTACCATAGTCCATATACAATAGTTTATTGCACGGTGCATGCATACGCTAATTCACTTGTATGCTCTCGGTATGGTAATTCATGTATTCTCGTAACCACTCATTCCACTGTATTTCTTGCATGCATGCACACGGCAGCTCGCCAGATCCCAAATCACGCCGTGATCATGGAGCCAGCATTAAATCGGCTCATGCAGTGAGGGGGGCAGTTACTCCCGATCCGGTAAATGCTCGCGCCCTTGCGCCGGTTGGCACGGATAGGTCTGGTGCGGCAACGTGGTCCGGCTACAAAATAAGCTATCCTATAGCCAGCTACAGCTCTCTCTCTCTCTCTCTCTCTCTCTCTCTCTCTCTCTCTCTCTCTCTCTCTCTCTCTCTCTCTCTCTATATATATATATATATATATATATATATATATATATATATATATATTACCCTGTAGCTGGCTATAAAATAACTTATTCGGCAGCCACTTTAAGTTACGATAATTACTATGTTCATTTATGAGATTATAGTAACTCCTTGCTAAGTGGTTTACTATAACGTTATGGTAAATATCCCCATATGTTATAGTAACTCAACTATCGTAAATATGTATTGACATTATCGTAAATTAGTATATAAAATTATCGTAAATAGAGATGGCTATAGAATAACTTATTTTGTAGTATATATATATATAGATAGATAGAGAGAGAGAGAGATGGATGGATCATTAGCAACCAGTCAGCATGGTGATTTTGGTATTGAATTTTCTGTTGTGTTAGTTTCTCTTGTTTGTTTGTATCCATTTCAGTTCATTGCTCCTCCTTGATTTGCGCTGATCGATGTCGGTGCAGTCTTTGTAGCTAGTACTAGCTGTCGTGTGAAAATGAGAGGACAGCAACAGCATGCACTGCAGTGCAGTGCAAGAGGTGTGCTGCTTGTTGTTTTCATGGCCATCTGGGCATGCATGTGTATCCTCTTTCCTTATTGGTTTGATGCATGCACCATATCCATAAAGAGGCTTTGTTTGTGGGGGCGCATTAACATACAATCATCATTCAACATGAACCTTTAGAGATATAGAGACGTGCAATTTATCATATCTCAACACTCTGCTTATGCAAGTATTATGCCATAATGTCATAGTAGAGGGAAAACACTCACTAGGATAGGAGTACCTTGTACTAACAATTTGGAGCTTGACAAAAGCTGGTTGGGTTAGGGCCTGATTGGTTTGAGCCCAGCCAAAACTGCCTGATCCAGACATGAATCCGAGGCGTCCAAATTTGGAGACCTGGGACTGAGATTGCTGACTAGGCTAGGAGATCAGAGGACTCCAACCAAACAGCTCTGTAATCTTTTGTTAGTATTGTAGTATTGTAAGTCATGGACTCACCTCTCCTGATGCTGCTTGTTTATTTAAAGCCCCCCAAACCAGCTCCAGTGGTCAACAAGTCTCCACATCCTCTCCTTCCTCCATATATGAAGGGGATTGATCCCAAGATGTGGTGACAGCATTGGAGGGTGGCCCTGCCACTGTAGTCTGTAACAGAGATCCAATTTCTATGTGCACAATTCCTAACCCAGGCCCTGTTCGCTTGAACTTATCAGCCGTACCGTTTCAGCGAAATAATAGTGTTTTTCTCTCACAACAAATCAACATCAGCATCAGCCGTTTTAAGTACATAGATTCAACAAATCAACATCAGCATTAGCCGTTTAAGTACACAGATTCAGATGCGCCACTGAAAAGAAGTGCACAAAGGCATAAATAAAACTGGGGCAGCCAGGCATATGCACGTGGGAGATCTGGAGCATGCATGTGTTGCACAAATGCTTATTTATCATCCACTGCCCACTCCCAGAATCCAGATCTGCTACCTCATCACTGGGAGTGCATGGAGACTTCCTCCGCAGCTTCAGCAGCCTCCACGGCACACTTGCAATTAGCAAATATATACATCTATCTTTCCCCTATATTTTTAATAATATACATCAGTATGTGCGCACATATGGTACAGCTCTAAGAACTTGGTGGAACCATGTGATCCAGAAAATAATTGCACTTTAAGTTTGTCATTGCAAGTTTGGAACAGCTCAAACACTGATGTATATCCTTGGCAAGTCAAAATACAAAAGAAACAAAAAAGAAAAAGAAAAAGAAAGGGAGGCACTCCTTATGTATTCAGGCACACAGCGGCATAGTGGTATCTGCAGATTTCATTTGGTGAGCAGAAACTTCATCTTGCCGTCAAAAACCTCCACACTGTTTGATTACTATTTAGTGCTTGGTCAGTGAATTGAAAGACCTCCAGACAAGCACTTCCAGCTTCTCCATTATATCAAAAAGAACAATGAAAAAGGCTTCAGACTAACTTTTGCACAACAGAGATCCCCTTTTGCACAACAACGGCTGTAAACAACTCCTTGGTGTGAGTATTTATAAATCTAACAACACACAGAGAAGATGCACAGAAACAGTTTAGCTAAGGTTTGTCGGCTCTGTTTTTCTGTTCCATCTTCAAGCGGCATCGAGTTAAGGTCTCTTCCCGATCCTCTGCAGGTACAATTTTCAATATGTCCTCTATGTCTGCCTTATGCTTCCTTTGCAGCGCACTAAGCTCCTCTTGCTGCTGAGCCAACAGGTTTATTAACCTCTCGGTGACGTCTGCTACCAGATGCCAATCAGAACTGTGATCCCGATCATCTAAAGAGCGAGGGCTGCTACCAACAGAAGCTTCCCTAGACATGCTGTCGACCACAGATGAGTTCGACAAGTCCACAGATGATGATATTCGTTCAAACATGCCTTCAACAGGATGGATGGAATTACCTCTTGCACAGCTCACAATGTCATCTATTTTGTTCCTCTTTGGTATTCCATTGGCAATACTATCACCAATTTCAGGTTCCACCACCAATTGTGATATTTCACCGTCTCTCCTGGGTGAGTCCGACCAGTACTTTCGTCCAGAAGGAAGCTGTTCTTGAACAAAGCCATTATGTGAAGCATTAACCTCACTACGAAATTCAGAAGTTCCCTCGTCACCTTCTGAACTGTGGGTCTCAGAATGAGCAGCTTCATCCCCTTGGTTGTCAATTGATTCCTCTGCTGCCCAATCAGGAATATGTGAACGTATTTCAGCATCTATCATTTCTGCAATCGCCGTTACATCTTGATCTGTGAGATCAAGCTGCACGACCATCTCAGTTGCAACACTGATTGAAGTGTCCGCTTCAATATCAAAGGGGAAGTGGATGTTTTGGGCATGACCTGTGCATTGGGAGATAAAAATAGATAGAGGATAAGTGTCAGATTAACAATACAATGATAATTCAATGAGATTTGAATATTTGATCATGAAAACCTGTTGAATCAGCAATGCGCAGCTTCAAAAATATTGTATTCAAATCCTTCCGTTGACTCTCGACTGTTATACTTGACCAATTGTGGCATGTGGATCCATGGTGTCATGTACATAGTTATCAGAAGGATGTGAATCTGACATGCTACCTGCATTTCACAATAAGGTTGACATATCAAAATGAGAGAAGCCTCATAGCGGTGAATCATTAAATCGGTGCAACGTTCATTACACCTTTTCACGACTATACCTGAGCAATCATGGCGGCCCACAGATGATGCTACTCTGTCATATCTGAAACTAGAGCTTGGTTTTGGACTACCAGTATCTGCCATGTTTATTCTAAAGTACAGTTATGTGGGAACGAGAAAGTTTACTGCAACCTGCATCTGTAACATGAGATATCTCCAATTCAGTCACGTACCTGATGTATTAATATTTGGATGCAGTGGATAGAATATTTTTTCATCACTAACATCTAGGAGAAAAGGATCCATCAAGAGTTCTTTTGCCGAAAGTCTTTCAGTGGCTTTAGCAATGCATTTCTCTATAAATAACTTTACTTCAGGATCATCAATCTTAGCCAGTGAACCTGGCTTTTCACCCTGTCATATATACAGCAAATAAAGAGATTATGAAACTGAAAAATGTCACTTCATTGTACTATGAACATTGATTCAAGGAAGAATACATTTCCTAGGACACGCAGTGCATGAATAATATAAAATCCATTTTTGGAGTAGACTATATAGCAAATCTAGTATGTGCATCCTATGCAGGTGTGTTCAATCCAATCAAGAAAGAGAAGGCTGGCAAAGAAAAGATATTCCTCCAAAACATTACCAATGAACAGACCAGTATGTGATTTGTGTTAAAGAAAAGTCATGAACTCTTTTAGAATGACAAATCCACCAGTATGACACTATAGGCAGTTTGATACCAGGTTGAGAAAATAATGCAACGTACTAGTAGAATAAAAGACAACCACAGAGCCAGATGTCGCACTTGCTGTTGCTGTAGCTAGCCACTAGCCCACTACCCCTCGATCCATTATGTCGGTGCAAACGACAGTGGTTACTTATGTAATTTCTATGAACCAAAATACTAAAGCACAGGCATATAGTATAAGACAAGACAACCATAGGGATACATGTGACACTGCCTATGGCTTAGGCCTTATCCATCAATACATTATGACACTTCAAATAAATCATGCTAGCGGTTACCTATGTAATTTCTAGGCATAGCCATGCTTCCAGTACAATACTCACTGATGAATAACCCTGTTTGTTCGTTTATAACCATAAAAAGATACCTTCCACTGAAGCCTACAAGATCTTTCCATGTGGAGAACATTAAAACTGATCTTCATATAGATGTATTGACTCAACTAGAACTACATTAGCAGCTCCGGATAGCATGCACACTCTTTAAAACTTTTATTCGGATCCTATACTTTAAATTATTTCAGTTGAAGACACTTGCAGCATCAGTAGTTTCACAGAATTCATTAGAAAAAGGTGACTATTTGTTTAAAACATATGGCTCTTAACTAACCCTAAAGATAAAAAGTCACAGATTATGTCGGAAAATAATGTTCTAAGATTGCCCTAACTAAAATGCATAACTCTGGCTTCATGTTTAGCCAAGATCCATATGTCATTTTCATTCTGAAAGAAATAGCTAAAAGTAATTGGAAGGATAAGTAAACTAACATCAGATACTTTTTTGTATATCTGTGCTGCATTCGAACATTCACAATATGGGTACTCAAATGTAACAAGCTCCAGTAAACACATCCCAAAAGCATAGATGTCTACAAGCTCATTATATTCCTCATCATAGAGTTCCGGTGCCATGAATTCCGGTGTACCTAAGAAGAAGCAGAGGTCACACGAGAAATTACAAATTTCTAATGGAAGTAAATAAAATGAATTGCTTACCAATGATGCTATGAGCTGAACGTGCATTATCCAGGATAGTTGCTAAACCAAGGTCTCCAATCTTTACCTCACCCTGGTTTCCATTCACAAATATATTGTCACACTTTAAGTCTCTATGGATTACTGGTGGATCGTGGCTGTGCAGGTAGACAAGACCACTCAAGATTTGCCTTGACCATTTCTTTAAAGCTCTAATGTCTACCTTCTTGTGCTTAATCCGGTACCTAAACAGAAAAGGAAGAGATTGGTACACGGTTCAGCAAGGAGAAAGGTCGTGTATTTTCAAAGGTCTAAAATGTATGTAGCTTGTAAATTTTGTTCATATCAATGTTGTGTCCTCTTAGATATGACTGGGTGATAACAACAATGTTAACCCAAATGGTTTCAGTTACTTAATGCAGCTTGCACGAAATATCTGAAGAAAAACAATTATAATCAAAGAGGCACGTACTGGCGCAACGTCCCTGATGTGAAGACCTCTGTGATGAAATTTATATTGTTGTTTCTTCTGTCAAGCCATGAATTGTAGAACTTTATTATGTTTTTATGCTTGAGGGTTTTAAGCAACCGCACTTCTGATCTCAGCCTCTCCAAATCATCATTGTTCCGAAGTAAATCTCCCGCTTTAATCTGGTTCCAAGCAACTTCTAGCCCTTCAAGTTGATCAAAAGCCTTGTATCTATGCCAATAAAATCTAAATCAAGGATCCCAAGCAGATAGAATTGGAGCAGATATACGTGTTAATTAGCAAATATAGATGATCACCGTGGCACATCTCCATGGACTAAAAACAGTTGTGGACATAACACAAAAGTCTAGGCATCTAAAGAAAATATTGGATTTGTCTTTTCATCAAGATTGACTAACAGAATCTCTCAAATGAAATGCATACACACATGACCATGATCTTACCAGAAATAAACAAATTTCTAGAACTGAACTTTTTACAATGGATGGAAAACCATGCAATTACCAGCAGCTAGAAACTAGTGCTCCAGGTGATAAATGCATCAACATGCATAAGACTAATTTGGCACAGGCAGAGTTATTTCAAGTATCCAAGCAATTTGAATGGCTACCATGGAAACTTACATACTGAAGATAAATGTACTGTACACAGAAAAAGGGGAAAACGACACGTTTATGCTTACGAGCATACTAAATGATGACATAAATGATAATTATCCAAAAGAAGATGGCACTTATCACTTTCCACACCAGAAAAAGGAAGGTAAATAATCATGTCAGACATGTACGTCTCAAACCACAGGCTGGAATCGATATGCTGAAATGTCAAACTTCATAAACCTAGGACATCAGGTACAAATGAAACGGCTGGGAAACTGAAAAGAAGGCAATGCATTGAGCAATCACAACACAGCAATGCGGTAGTTTATTGAAATGAAAGAATGTCAGAATTTGCACACAACGGCAATATATGCCAGACACTGAGACAGAGTATCCCCCAAGAGGCTGCACCTTAGAGGCATCAGGGCAGGAACTTTGGGTGATAAGCGCACTAGAAAGCATGGAACCAATCCAAATGACGCGATGCAAGAGCCTAAGAAAGATCCCCCATGGGTAAACATGGGTGTCTTCATTCGATAGCACGAAGTCAAACAACCCCGGCTGTAACCGCCATACCAAAATGTCTACTTGATGAGCCTAGGACAGCAGGTACAAAATGGAATTGGGAACTGACATGGAGACAATGCATCAAGCAATCACAGCGGAGCAATGCAGTCAGGTATTTCACCGAAAGGAGATTAGAATTCCCAACAAAAAGGCAATATGTGAGGCATCATATCATATTCATATAGAGAGAGCGGCATCGGGGCTGGAACTTTTGGGCAATGAGCGCATCAGAAATCATGGAACCGATCCAAATCGGCGAGAACCTAAGAAACGATCCCCTCCCATGGCATGGACCGCGTAAAAACGGGATCTTTAATCGATCGCGCGAAGTCAAAGGACCCCGAATCAGACTCAGGCGTCAAAGGCCTCCGGGGGGATGAAAGGATACACCGTCTTGAAGGCGCCCTTGCCGAGAACCTCCGTGTACTGCAAGAGTGCGGAATGCGTGAGCACGGGAGCGGGGGGCGAGGGATCAGAGGCCGAATCGAGCGGAGGCAGGGAGGGTGGTCGGGAAGGGAGGCATTACCCGCCCGTAGCGGCCGGTGGGGTCGACCTCGGCGAACTCCGGCTCCGTCTCCGTCTCCGGCGGCGTGGGTGGCATCCCGGGCGGGCGGGCGGGCGGCAGGCGGGCTGGGAAGGTTTGCCGTTTTGGGGCCGTCGCGGCTGGGCGCTTAATTGGGATCACAGGGGCTCGCGCTCGCCTCCCTTTCCGGCCGGAAAGCAACCTTTCTCTCTCGAGTCTTGAGAGAGAGTTGTGTGAGACTGAGACCCGACGTCCCGACCTGACGACTCCACCTCGACCCACCACGGCACCACCCCAGACGGCAACTCCAACTGCGACTGCGTGCTGGACTACTCGATCGTCGTCGTGTGAAGGAGACGAAGGTCAGAGTCACAGAGCCTCACAAGCACAGGCAGGCTCCGCTCCGCTCATCTCAATGGTCTGTCAGTTTGTTCTGCCACGTTCCATTCCAGTGTTGGGAAACGGGGAAGGTAAAAAGCTCATCCCTCATTCCAAATTCCAAGCTGAAACTGAGGAAGTAATATAGAGAGAGTTTATTATATATCTAGACAAAAATATATATAGGTAACAAAAATTATGTAACTAAAAAATAGAACTGTAATTTAGAATAGACGCAAAATTGTCCGTGCATTGCAACGGATCAATAAAAAACATATACTAATTTTTATTCGGCTCAAGATTTAGGTGTAAAAGAAATAATTGTTTATGTCAAAAGATCGAATTTTGTTTAGTGTGAACACCCATGATAGTTGTGGTTCATCTCCTTCACCTCGTCGATCAACCTCCTCAAACACCGCTACTATCTCCTCTAGCTCGCCTTGCAGAGCACGGCGTCCTGCACAGAGGCGCCTCATTGCATCTGCGTCAGAAACAAGCATTGATAGGAAGATCAGAATTCCATGGCTCGAAGGCCACGGCAGTGAGGCAACCTCCTGGTGTTCACGGAGTGCGATGCCATGGAGCGGCGGTGTAGAGCCAAGCTCAGCAACTGCGGCTCTAATCTCTGCAAGCTCAGTGGTCATGCTATATGCAAAGCATCTTGTTGGGGCCAGCGCCAACGATGAGGCTCTATCTGGGACACTGCTCATCAGCAGTGGATTAGGCGTGGTGGTGGCGCTCCGACCACGCTGCACCCTATCCTGCATCACGCATTACGCTGAAAGCAACAACGTACTGCGCGTGGTGGGAGTGCACACTTCAGAAGGTACGGAGGATGCGCGTTGGCGGCAAGACCAAGCGTATGGCCGAACCATGCAGATACACAAGTTTTGTAAGCGGCTGATGCAGCATCGTGCAGGCCGCCTGTAGGAGTATTAAGCCCACTTGCATCACTATTTATAGGGGGATAGACTTGTTACCTGTGGTGGTGTGGCCTCGAGTACTTTGTGCTCCTACGTTGTATGTTATTTGGATCGTTTTTTTCTTTTAAACTTTAATTCAGTCAATATGTGTCCATTATATATGAAGTTTTTACCATAGATTCTACACATCAATAGAAGATTAGCATAAAAAATTCACTGTAAAAGGACTAAGGAAACATCCTCTTTCAGTTTATGAAAGAAAACGTAGATCTATAACTGCATCAAATATTTTATTCTAAAATGTAGATCTAGTCGAGAGGAGTTAAAAAATAATTTTGCTATTTTTTATTTTTCTATTTCTATAATTTTTCACATCTTTTACAAGTTAGCTGTTTTGCTAGAAAAAACCAAAAAAAAAAGAAAAGGGGACAGGCCATGGCTCGGCCCAGTCTACTGGCGCAAAAGGCCCACGCGACAGATTTCAGCCCAGAAGGAGGAGGCCCAACATCGGCTGAACTTTTACATGAGAAATCCCTGAGTTTCTGGAATTCAATTTAGATCCTTCTACCTTTTTTTTTCTCTCTTGCACTTTTCACCCTGGAACCCTTCCTTCTCTTCTATCTCTTTTTCTCATCCTCTTTCCCAAACCAGCACCCGATCTCAGGCAGATACGTGCCGGCGGAGAACAGACACGGACAGGTGATTAGGCTGGACGAAAATTTATACGTGATAGAAATTTTAACTCTTTATTATTAGGTATAGAAGGAAGTACTTGAGAAAAAAAATGAAAGAAAATCATGCAGTTACATCCCAGAGTACTACACAGTTAAAAGTCAATAAATATAACGACTTACAAAACCACAGTTTGAAACACACAACTTCATTTTCCTAGGAAACGAACGAATTACCGCCAAGGTTACCACACAGTTATAAGTGGGGAATACAACGAGAACTATAGCTGCACAGATCCCCCTAAAAGCACTCGAGTACGAGACAAGGTTACACACAGGGGGCCAGATCTTCATAAGTTACATGCATTTCTCTCGGTAATAATTCAGAAAACACAAAATTCATAAAACCATGTACCTACAACTGATGTTTTTTAGTTGGCCGGGGAAAATTTAGAAGTAGTCAATACGGCACAAGTATCGGTGTTTTAGAAGAAATAAAATAAACCTAAACAATTTTAATAATATAAAAATCCATAGGAACTTACATGGGGAAAAAAAACAGAACAGCTAGTAGACGCGTATGCAAGGCACGACTCCATTAAAGCACACGCAGTTCAACATGTTACATAGAAGGCGACATAATAAAATATAACAAAAACATGTAAATGATACTCAAAACGAGACGCAAATCTACTCCACACCCCCGTCGCTGTTGACGTCGTCGTCTTCTGGAGGCGCGTTTAGCAAGCCAACGTGATTTCCCAGCACAGTTGCAATAGCTTGTAACTGCATTGCATAGTTTGTAACTTTCTCTTCGCGCGACCGATCAACGCGAGGGAGCCCCAGAACACTTGCCACATCGTCCAACTTGTTGAATGTGGCCTGCATGACTACGACTGCGAACTGATTGTCCTTGATGAGGCGAAAGTGGTGCTCCTCGTTCCTCTTCGCCTGATCCTTCCTCTCCTTCACCAAAGCTGGATCTTCACCGGCTGGACGAGCACTGCCGTCGTCGTCCCTTGCGCGCTTAGCTGAAGACTCACCTGAGGAAAACCCATGCTGGCGAAATCGGAGTGTGGTACAAAGGCAGTGTGGATGTTGCTGGGTTTTTTTATATGAAAACTGTTTGGAAGAACATGTAGCACCTGGTTTTAACGATAAAATCAGATACACGCCATATGTGAGCCTAGAAAGTCAAATCACATATATGGCTACAAATAGAGGTAATATCAAGGTACAATGCTTAATATATAACGTACTTAGTACAAAAGTTATAACCTTGAACAACAAATAGCGGTAAGAGTACAACTCTGATCCTCAGGTGAAGACTCCAACTCCACAGGGACAGCTGACTGGTTGATCACAAACCTAAACTCCCCCTGACTCTAGCAATCTGGTATCTATCTGGTACCCATCTAGGATTTTTTCAAAGAATTAAAAAGTAAAGCAAGTGTAAATACATGTCGCACTCAACAAATATAACATGGGGTTCATGAAGCTCAAAAGGTTGACACTGGTTTACTGCTATTAGCTTTCAGTGAGCCATAATTTTAGCAATTGAGTAGGAACAAGTTTAACATAAGCCCTAAATAACCAGATGATCATGTACCATGAATAATGTATAGCATAAACAAATTAATCACAGGTGTTCTTCTATTCCATAAGGGTCCCAAGGCCGCTCATGATCGTGAGCACGGCTGATATACATGTTTTACACTCTGCATAGGTTGTACACTTTCACCGCAAGTCGTGATTTCCATATGCCATCACCTCTTCTAAGGGAGTGTGGCAGGGTACACTAGGAGATTGTTCGCAGGTTCCACAAATAGGTAGCAACCCGCTAAGGATTCCCCATCAATCGGTAAGATTCCCCTCCAAGGTGTGACTAACAAAAGACAAAGAAACCAAAGTGCACCCCCCTTGACAAGCCGAAATCAAATCAATCGGAACCCCTCTTGCGCCATTTGGTAAGCTACCTGTCGGTACAGAAAGTGACCAACTAGTTAATATTTATAGTTTTGTTGTACGTTGTGATCGGATGTGGCCTAGCACTCAATGACACAGGATTTATACTAGTTTAGGCAACGTGCCCTACGTCCAGTGTGGGTCGGTCCGTGACTTTATTCCTGAGCCCAGGTGCTCGAAGTCTGTAGTGGGGTTACAAACGAGAAGGAAAAATGAGGGGTGTACGAGAGGCCCGGTCGGGTCCGACCGGAAGGGCCGAGGGCGACCGGAACTCTGCTATGAGCTAGGTGTTCAAGCGTGTGCTCGATGGGTTTGTGAGCTATCGATCTAGTGAGTCTGAACTCGAAGAAAAAATGGCCTCCTTTGTTGGAAGGAGCGCATCCCCTTTTATAGATAAAGGGGATGGCTTTACAGGTGAGAGAGAGAGAGTACGGATGTTTCTAAGCCTTGTTGCCCACGTCGATGAGGGTAGCGATGATGGTAGACGTCCATAATACTGTTGATGTCACTGTAGAATGTCAGGTGCACATGGGTGGTTGTGTTGGCTTCTTCAGGAAGGGTGGATGTTGGTACCTGCAAAATACGATGGTTATGTGAGGAGCCCTTACCACGTGTACCAGGTATGGTGGATCCTGACGCCCACTATCGATGCCCAGAGGCATGGGGGGCTTTTTGCCGTATGGGAGCCCAATGGCGCCTACAATACTATAGGCACAAATATCGGCGCCTACAATACTGTTTGCGTCAGAGCGGTTGTGGAGCACTGTTCCCGTAGGCGTACAGGGTATGGTCCCGGTATCGTGGTTTGACTTGTGCGCTGCCTTCTCCGTTCGCCCCTGGTCCTTTCCTAGTGGACGTCCCCGGATGGATGGCACCAATCGGCCCTGGCCATGCCAGTCGGAGAAGAGCGGTAAGCAGGCTTCCTACGGGTCCCCGGTTGGAGTCGCGGGGTCGGAGTAGGAAGCAACGTTTTGACCTAGGCCTTCCGATCGGAGAGACCACTCGGAGGCGGCTGGTGCCCGAAGCGAGTGCTCCAGTTGGAGAGGTGGGCCGAAGAGGTTGACGAGCGGGCGCTTGTTCGTTTGGGTAGACATTCCGATCGGCGACCGGGCTGTCCTTCCGGCCCGTTGTTTTTTTAGAC